TCATTACTCTCTTTACTTTCCTGAACTTTCTTAAGTGGATATTTTCTTCTTCCTTTAGAAATGGAATTCTTTCCTTCCTCCACATTTTGCAATTTTCCTTGTCCACATTTTGCAATTTTCCTTGTCCTAGTGTTAACGTGTTAACATCACTTTTTTCTTCCTGAGGCTTTTTCTTCTAATTCATCATCAACAGTATCTGTTTGTTCTACAGAGTTTGTAAGGATTATTTTAACTTTCCTAACAGTTAAATTTTGAGTTAAAGTTTCTTTCCTATCATTTCTTAATTTCAACTTACAACTTCCGGCCGGAACGTAGTTTTAGTATTACGTTTGAATGCAAATTTGAATAGTACTTAACCGCGAAGTTCTACTGTCTTAGTCAGAGAGAACCAGAGATTCTGGCTAGCACGCGTCCGTCTTTTTAGGCTACTCTCTCTTAAGCTATTATTACGCTCGGCCGTACTTTAGGCCCTTGATAGCTTCGCAGTCAATTAGCATTAAGGGGGCCAACTCTGTTAGAAGTTTGATAGCTTCGGCTATATCTTTTTAGTTAAGTTTTAGTTGTTAGTATCTTAAGTTCAAGCCCGAGTGTCGGCTTTATTGTAAAATTCCAAAACGGAGTTCTGTTAAACTTTAATTTGGAATAATAAAGGGCCTTTAACCCTTTTCAAGTCTTATTCAATGTCTCACGAATTCAAGCGATTATTCCCTTACCAAGTTCTTAAGATTCTTCAAATTCAACTGAAACTTAAAAGTACACAGTACAGAATCTTACAAGTTTTTAGAGTGTTTTACTTTCGAATTATCTGCTTTATTAATATCCGAACAATTATCTAACCCAGTTTCTTGATCTACATTTATGTGCATTAAAATTCGATTCGTTTTCATTCTTCGGCTTCTTTCATAGATATGCCGTTCTTGTTTATAATAATTTCCATTTGCGAAAGCAATTTATTTCCAATAAAAGTATTCTCTTTTATTTTTTTTCTTGAGGTACAACATAAATATTTGATTTAATTTCACAATCATCGATTCGTATGGAACCTTTAAAATAACCAATAAGTTTTACTTTATTATTATCAAAGCCTACTAGAATCAAACTGGAAGATATAATATTAGGTGAACCAATTACTTTATAAATATTTTCCGATACTATATTTATGTCGCTTCCTCTGGCAGTCAAAGCTTTTACTTCTACATTATCTATGAATACAATTTTATGCATATCATTTAACTACTTTGTTTACAAATATACGATTCGCTTCGGCAATATTTTTTACATTCGTCTTATTTTTTCTACATTCTGCAACTACGTGTCCAAATAAATTACAATAAAAGCACTTTTCTTCCCTTGCAGAAATTCTCCACGTGAGCAAGATTTCCACAATTATAGCAAAGAATATTTGTTTTATTTTACTTTCTAAATGGTCGCCTCTTGCTTTAGAATTAGGCTTAATGGATTTGTTTTTATCATTATTAGTCCAAAGGGGCAATTTGCCCAGAAGGAGTATTAATTTTGTTTTGGCATTTTGCGTTGGTTCACTATAAATGTAGGTTCACTTTTCAAATTGTTTCCACCAAATATTAGAGCACTGCATTACATTTTGTTGTGTAGCGAATTTAATATAATTAAGTTATAATTTAATATAATCAAAATTTTAATTTGTAATTATTCAAAATTTGAGCTACACAACAAGTTTGGTTATATTCTTTTATTTGGTTTATTAATTCTAGTGTAATCTACTTCGGCTATTCGAGTTTACGCGAACTGCGTCTTCAAATTTGTACACTCAGACAATGGATATAGGTGAATTTTTCATGTAATAAACTCAGTTTTTCATGTTAAAAATTAATTTGATTTCTTAGTATTTAATATCATTAGTTGCAGAAAAATTAGCTCTTTAATTTGACATAACTTTCGTTTTCCTAACTTTAATTGCATTTTAGTTATGAGCTTTAATTAGCAGATTTTTTTCCGTTTTCATTGTGATTTCTCTTCTGGGGGAAGAATTGTCCTTTTTCCGGTAAAATAGTCGCTTTTTTTCGAGTTTCAGCGTTCCCTCGTTGAGACTGCTTACAGGGTTGTTGAAATTCCAAGTTTTCCCCTTTCAATAGGCTGGTTATTTGGCAACGGCTTGGCGATTTAGAATTTCCGTTGGGGTTTCAAAGTGGTGGCTTTGGCGAGTTCGCTAACATGAAGGAATGCTGTAGTTGCAACTGGTTTAACTATTGGCGAGGAGGGAGTTGTGCCAAGTTGGAGCTCCGGCGCTATCCCTTTTAACGGCCTGTTTTGTGGGACGAGGTAGCTTTTTGACACGTTTTTGACTGTTTTCACTTGCCGTGAAGTGGAGCTAGCCGACAGCTGATTTTGTTTCTGGAAACCATGTTCGAGATGAAAATTTCTGAAGGGCCATTGTTAGGCCCTTGCCTCTCGAAATTACCCTAATGAATGTTGGCTCCTGTAGCCGGTTTCTCGTGGCACTCGGCCCGGGAAAAATGTTACGGCATCTTTATAAAGTGAATTTCCGACAGCATAGAATAATAGCTTTAAAAATGAATGATCCGCAAATTCAATAATTTTTTCAACATCGATATTAGCTACATTTTTCGTTCTACTCATGTTTTTTTGCAATAAGTAAACAAGTGCTTCCAACCATGGTTAACGGTCAACGGTCGTGAAGAATCCGCATGGATCCACATTTAATGCCTTATTGATTCCTTTACCTTGCCTTATTGATGGAAATTCATCTCAACCCTATTCCGAGTCTAGTTCAACAAAGAAATGGTCTCCTGCTTTCACCGATGCTTTGCCTCCCAGTATGGACAATGGACAATTCATCTTGCTTGGTGAACTGCCGTTTGCACGATAGCTTGATTCGTAATAAGGAGGAGTGCTACTTCATCCGAAAACGACGTCCATTGTGTTCGGGATGGTTGTCCTAGCTGTCTGTCTGGATGTAAAGCTAAGTTTTTTAAAATTTTTTTGTTTGCTTAACTATTTGAAAAAAAATATTTTTTTTTGCGTTTAAAAGGACTGAATTAACTTAATTTATTGAGCCTTAAATTTTTTTTGTAGTTGATAAATTTATCCTAACTCTATAGAAATCATATTTTTCTTTTGTGTGTCGATTAAGTAAAAGCATTAGATTGAAGAAAAGATTTATAACCTTATTAAAATTATTGTAACTTAACTTAATAGTTCAGAAAATTAAGTTCTTCAGGAAATTATTTAATTGAATTTTTGTTTGAGTTACTTTCTTGGTGAGGATTGATTTGTAATAGTGCCTGTATTAGAGCAATTTTGCTCCTCTCATGACGAACTTTATTTTTGTAGAAGTGTAATAGTGTCACTACTTATCTTTATCAGGCTAAACCATATTTTATTAATAAAAAAAATAAATGATAAAAATTATTATGTGCAATAATAGGATTTAAATGATGGTATTGAGTGCAATATTATGCAATATTTTTTTGTATTGATCAACTCTGTGTGAAGTGGAAAGTGTAACTTGTTAAATTTTTTTTTTAAATTTTTTTTCCCGGGGAGGGTACTGTTCATAAATTTATAGTATATTTTTGGTATGTTTACCAGATTTGCAATAGTAAATATTATAGAGATTTAGGGTTGTTGAGAAATAATTACTCTGTAATAGTTTGATGTGTAAAACAATAGTACAACTTTTGTTGAATATATTTTGATTTTTCCAATTAATGGATATATATATATATATAATTTGCATTAAGAGTTAAATAAATAAGTTTTTCTAGATCAATCAATGGTTAAATTTATTTTGCGTGCTCATGATATTTACCAGTCTTTTACTCAAATTGATTTAAGGGTTAATCCGGAATAAACACAATGCAATAACGATAATTCTATTGATACTAGGTTGTTATGGTAGGAATGAGTATTTTTAATTGTTGTGGTCAACTAGTGGGGTACCTTATTGGTAAATTTCAAAAACGACACAACAAAATTGGTGCCGTTCCCTTTCGAACCAACTTAGCACCTAACAATTTTTTTTGTGCTGTGATTTTTGCACCACTTTTTGGCTTGCACTTATAATTGAACTTAATTTTGACTTGAGACTGGTGATTGTCATGTGTACTATTGCATATTTATGTGAAAGTTTTCTTCCACATGTCTAGGCTTTTTACTGAAACCCTACTCGTTAGTTGGTTACAGTGACAGGCCTATACAGTGGTCGTATTTCTGTGCTTATTTTATACTTATTGTTTGAGGTAGCATAACAGATATGCTACTGATACACTTATGGACTTTGAAACTATTGTATCCAAACACAAACATTTTCACGCAGTACCTTAATTTGTTTAGTTAAGTATTTTCTTTATGTGCAAAATTTTGTATTGCATTTTTACATATTGAGTTTGAGGATTACTGTTTCACATTTTTGCAACTGTATGTTTGCAACATAAGGTTAAAAGGCACGCTTGTTAATCACACATTGGGATACATCCCTACTTTTATGTGCTGGCAATTGCTGATTGCAGTTTTAAAATGCCAAAGAAAGTGTCAAAACGAGCAGCCAGAGCGGCTAGTAATAGTATGATAGACTGGGAGGAGAGTCAAGAAGTCATGGCTCTATCAGTTTTTGGTTCTGATCCTCTGGATTCTGTTCCTCTGTTCTCAGGTGCAGACAAGGGAATTAGTCTGAATGACTTTTTAGATAGGATTGATCTCATTTTTACATATTGAGTTTGAGGATTACTGTTTCACATTTTTGCAACTGTATGTTTGCAACATAAGGTTAAAGGCACCCTTGTTAATCACACATTGGGATACATACCACTCATGTGGGTTGGTCGGATGAAGACAAGTTAACAGTGATCAGAGTCAAGGTGGCAGGTGAGGCTGCTGAATTAATTAGGAATAATCCTAGGTTAAAGAAAGAAGCCAGTCTTGAGTATGTCGTGAAAGCGTTGAAGGAGAGGTTCAGTTCAGTGCACAATTTGCACTCTAACATCCGTGCTCTTATTCAGGCTTTTCAGAAACCACACGAGTCAGTGCGCCAATTTGCAGCACGTATAGAGGCTCTTTCGTACAAAACTGTACCAGTGGAAAGAAGCAGTGACCCTGCAGCAGAAGCACAGAGGCAGGATTTACTTCTGTCAGTGTTTATCGAAGGATTGCAATTGCATTTGCGACGCTTGTTGCTGCCACAGAATCACAAAACTTTTGCATCTGCTAAACAGCATGCAATTATTGAGGAAGACATGTGGGCTAAGAGCCATGCTAGTAGTGATTTTGCAACAGCTGAGGTTAGAGCGGTGAATGCTGCTAAGCCAGCAAACGAAAAGTCAGTTACAACACCATCAGTAACCAACTCAGAGCTCACTACAGCTATTAAAATGCAACAAGAAAATATAGCTCAGCTTACTAAAATGATGGGCTCTCTTCAAACACAGGTGCAGAGTTTAATATCACAAGGTACTCGTTCAAGACCCATACAGCCTCGTTGTTACAGATGCAACAGAATAGGGCATGTTAGCAGGGACTGTTATGCAAATATTGTGCCTAATCAGCACTCTAGACAGGGTCAACACAGATTTAGAAATAACCAAACAGCCAAGGAAGGAGACATCCTAATAACACCACACCAGCTGTTTCGGGTACTCCAAATACCACAAGTGTGGCTACAAATGCTTTGAATCCCCAAGCACCAAGTTTTAATTTAAACTAATTCAGGGTGGGGAGAAACCAATCTCCGTTTCGTCTCCTAAAACCTTTTTGGAGGTGCCATCGGTTTTTACAGTATCCACTAGTGAGGCGTCTTTGCCTATTGTAGAGGGATCTATTTTGGGGAATAAAGTTAAGTTTTTATTGGACTCAGGGGCAACTGTAAACATCATAGAAGCTAAATACATTAAATGTTTTGGAAGTAAAATCTCATTGGACTCATGTAACATATATTTAAAGGGTATTGCTGCAGAAAAAGTAAAAATAACTAAGAAAATGAATTTAATAGTAGAATTTCAACAACAATATTTTGAAACAGAATTTTTAATTACTGACACACCTCTTTCATCTCAGTATGGTGCTTTATTAGGAACTAAATTTCTTGCAGACAATAATATGCATTTGGATTTCTCCACTTCTCAACTGTTAGGATCAAATGTAATTCTTAAATGGAATCTAAGTCAGCCTAGTGCTATGAATAGTAATGTTTTCTCTACTTCAGTTTCTCAGTCATTTTGTTACTCTGTAACCAAACATAAATTACCACCTTTTTCAGAAAATATCATTAAGCTCACTGCTCGTTCTGCAAATTTTACTACTGATACTGTTTTGATTGAACCTTTAATAGAACATGCTCAAAGTAAATTTTCCATAGCCAGGTCAGTTAATCAGACTTCTTCATCTAACGAATTTTATGTCAAAATTGCAAATTTTTCACCGAATACACTACATCTCAATAAAGGAATGAAATTGGCCAGTGCCCAACCTGTGAATGTCATCACACATAACTCTGAACTTGTAAACAATACCACCATAGAAACAGGTGAGGATTTCGAGTCTTGGGGTGGTGAATTTGATCTTACACATTTACCTGAGCAGCAACAACAACAATTATCACACCTTCTCAATCAGTATAGTAACATCTTTGCTGCCTCAGTCACTGAGTTAACAGGGTGTGACACCATCTTACACAACATCAACTTGCGTGATAATATTCCTGTTAGGCAAAAGCCTTATAAAGTACCTTACCATCTCAGGGATGAACTAGATAGACAGGTGGCAGAGCTGCTTGAAGCCAACATCATTCAAGAAAGTGACAGCCCTTACAGTGCTCCTGTTTTATTTGTTAAGAAAGCGGATAACACCTACCGTTTAGTCACTGACTTCCGCAAGTTGAATGAGAAAACGATAGAAGACAGTTTTCCTCTGCCTTCCATGATTGAGTTGATAGAACAGTTAGGAGATTCGAATTATTTTTCCACACTTGATTTAACTTCAGGGTTTTTCCAGATGAAAATTCATCCTGATGACACCTTCAAAAGTGGTTTTCTCGACTCCTTCTGGGCACTATGAGTGGTTACGAACACCTTTTGGCATGCGAAATGCTCCTAGTTCCTTTCAAAGGTTGATGTCTATAGTTTTGGCCAATCTTTCACACCATTAAAAATAGGAATTTACATTGATGATATTGTCATTGCTTCTAAAAACTTTTGAGGAACATTTGGAAAAATTGAAGTTAGTTTTTGATAGACTAAAACAGCATAATTTAAAACTTAAAGCCTTCTAAATGTCATTTTCTGAAAGAACAAATTACGTATTTGGGATATAAAGTTACCAAAGGGTATTATACAGCCTGACGATATAAAATTTAAAGACCATTCAGAGTTTTATTGCACCTAAAAATAGGAAAGGAAGTTAGGCGATTTTTAGGCCTTATTGGCTTTTACAGAAGGTTCATTCCAAATTTTGCCCAAAAGGCACTTCCTTTAACTCAGCTCACAAAGATTAAAGTTCCAGTTATCATTTCTTGGTACATGAAGCTCAGCAGGCCTTTGATATTCTAAAAGCTGAACTTCTGAATGAACCTATTTTTGGCTTTACCTAATTTTCTTAAACCTTTTTCTTTTCCTGTGTACTGATGCTTCTAATTATGCACTGGGTGCTGTCTTGTGTCAAGAAGATTCTAACGGTTTCCAACATCCAATTTGTTATGCTAGTAGAAAATTAAAAGGTCCTGAAACACGTTATAGTACTGTAGAGAGGGAAATTTTGGCAGTTGTTTGGGCCACAGCACATTTTAGACAATATCTTCTTGGTAAACCATTTACAGTATATTCTGATCAAGCTTCATTATCTCATGTTTTAAAACTTAAAGATCCCACTTCTAGAATTGCACGTTGGATTATGGGTTTATCCCAGTTTGATTATAAGATTGTTCACAAACCAGGTAGATTAAATTTAACAGCAGACTATTTATCTAGAGCAGTAAATGTTACACAGTTAATTCAAACTTCCATTACTCCTGAATTGTTAGAATTATTCAAAAAAGAACAAGCTTCTGATCCTTCTTGCCAGGCAGATTGTAAATGATCTTAAGAATATAAGTCTCCTACACCTAATTCTCAGATATTTTTTGTAAAGGAAGATGTTTTATATTGCAAATACAAGAAACCCAAGTCACGTTGGCAGAAACAAGATAGGCTAGTTGTTCCTAAAACACTAGTATTAAGAATTTTGCAGGAACATCATGATTCTCCTACTGCTGCACACTCAGGCTATCACAGAACACTTCATAGGGTTCAAAAGTCTTTTTTCTGGAAGGGTATGCATAAACAGGTACACAATTACATTAAGTCCTGTCACTCCTGTATCCAGAGGAGGGGTCATAGACCTGCTCATAAGGCTCCCCTTATGAGAATGCCTATGGCTACCCGTCCCATTGAGCGAATTGCGATGGATATAGTGGGTCCCCTTCCAGTTACTTTGGCAGGCAACAGATATTTTTTGGTCGTAACTGACTATTTTTCACGATGGCCTGAGGCTTATCCTTTGCAGGACACCACATCCATATCCATAATTGAGAAATTAGAACAATTTATTTCAACTCATGGTATACCTCAGCACATTGTTACAGATAAAGGTACTAATTTTATTTCTCAAGCTATAATGGAAGTTTATAAGAAATTGGGGGTTACTAAACATACTACTACGAGTTATCATCCACAGTCTGATGGTGTAGTTGAAAGATTAAATGCCACTTTAATTAATTCACTTAGCCACTTAGTTTCTCAAACTCAGGAGGATTGGGATAGACATCTGCCTTTTGCCTTATTGGCACACAGAACTGGTCGTCATAGTGCACTTCAGGAATGTCCAGCTTTTATTTTATATGGCAGGGATTTGTGTTTACCAATTGATTTATTATTGCAAACCAATTTTAGAACTTATGATGACACAAACAACTATTCTAAAGATTTGGTTTTGAGATTACAAAAGGCTTTTAAATTAGTCAATCAGAATTTAACGGAGGCTGCTGATAAGCAAGAAAATTCACGTGGAAGGAATTCTCATGATAAGGACATAAAAGTGGGAGATTTGGTGTATTTATACACTCCAGTAGTTCAGCCAGGTATGGCTAGAAAACTCTCTAAATTGAATCAGGGACCATTCGGGGTTATTGAGCAAGTGACTAAAGTCAACTATAAAATTTCTTCAATTACAAATCCTGATCGGATTCAGACGATACACGTGGACAGACTCACGAAGGTACCAGAGAGAATTACTTTTCCCACACTTCAAAAGGATGACTCAATTTTGACAGATAATGTACAGAACTCGTCACACGATTCACCTTACCATCTAAGGCCTAGAGATACACATGGTTTTGTGTCTAAAAAGTGAATTGAAATATTTTGAGAATATATAATGTGTTTTGTTGAATACAATTTTGTACAATATATAATGTGTTTTGTTGAATACAAAATTGTACAATTTGTACAATTTTGGTTGAATTATTATTTGTTTCTAGTAATTGTATTCTATGTAGCTAAATTTTGTAATCAATTAGTATAGTTGTGTAGTCTTGGCTTATCCTTGGTCGAGTGTTGCATTTGGATTTTACATGTTTTGGCATGTGAAGTTGTGATCAAGTTGTCTTGGTTTGGAACTTTCTAGTCTCAATAGCCTGGTTTTGTTTTTTTTTTGGAGGTTTTGCTGGGCTGGTCCCCGCCTTTTCTCCACTTCCTTAAGTTCAAAATTTTTTTTTTCTCTCTTGAAATCCCTTAGCCATGGTAGTCGGATTTGTTTCGGT